ACCAAATGAGGTTACATTTCCAACGCATTTTAAATTGCCTCAATCGGATATTGTAATACAAAGTTATGATAAAAACATTGAACGAAGGTGCAGCTGCCTGTTTAAAACAAGAAATTCTGTTACATAATCCGTTATATTGAGATATATTTTCGGCATAGAAAGTGATCGAATTGGAGAATGATGTCTGAATTAAAGTTATATCCAGATGAGTTAGCTTTTTAACTCATTTTGAATTGCCACAATCGGATATCAGAATACAAAGTTATAATAAAAACACTGAAAGAAGGTGCAGCTGCTTGTTTAAAACAAGAAATTCCATTACATAATCCGTTAAAACAACAAATTCCGTTAGTTTTTCCGTTAAATCAACAAATTTCGCTAAATAGGCACTTTTTATATATAGAAAGATATAATGGCGAAAATAGAAATAAAATGAAAATATATTGTAGCTAGCAATATAAATATGGATTTTTCCATCTGTACGGATGTAGGGGTTGATAGAACCCCTACAAATCTCTCACATGAGGTGGGTCCTCAATAAAAAAGTAAAAACAATATCCACCCACCCCCTGTTTGTGAGTGGTCGGTAGGGGTTTTGAACCCCTACCTGTACACCCAGCAAGCTTCTATAAATATATGTCTATTTCAAAATCTAATTCTACTTCTCACGTGAGGAAAAGTTATTTTTTCATGTATTACGGAAAAATAATTATATATATATATTATTCAGTAAATCGGGGTTCTCCCTTAATATTTTTTTTTACTCAAAACTATGATGCACATCTATGTGAATTATTTGTTATGATGAGAAGATGATTAAATTCATTATGACCAAAGATTTAATTCGACACAATAATGTTGAAGATAACATAGAATTAGCTCCACAAACTAAGTATTGGTAGACATGAGAACAACACAACAAAAGTGAACCAAACCAAATATCAATGTCGACCAGTTGGATTGGACGCCTCATATGGTATATACTAAGAATTATGTCTTTCTATTTTCTTCGATACACTACGTATTGTGAAAATGATGTCGACCACATATACTGAAAGGAAAAATAAGGTCTTTATTTTTCCATAATTATTATTTTTTGTTGGATTTTTTAATTACTCATTGATATTGTCCATTCAAAGACAAAATTGAAGAAAAAGAAAGCACATATTAGTATTAATGGTTCATATTCAAAAATCAACTAAAACGTAGTGTGAACTCAAATATATGTATATGGATGGAACAAAGTTTGTGGGATTTAACTGGGGTGGCCAAAAGAAAGCCACCCATTGATTATCACATAGAGATGGTTGAGAATTTGAAAATTTTAAGTTGACGCTTCGAAAATTTAAATGAGATATTTTCAATGTGAAATGTATTGGGTCATTCATGCGTCTTTGATTATACAATTAAATATTTGATTTCTGGATATAAAATAATTACTTGGTAAATTATTCTTGTGATAAAGTTTTACCACATCTTACTAAATGTGATCCTTTATCTAGGCTTTTAAATTTGAAAAAAATTAACAGCCCTCTAAAATGGTAAATTACATCCACAATTCTCAAACTTTTTGGGTTCCCAACTTTCACTTTTACATTAAAAAAAAAGTGTTTTTTTAGAGGGTTTACAAAGTAGAAGTTAAATTGAGCGAAAAGACAATTTCTCCGTCGCATTTAGGCTCGATTTGAAATCCATTTTCAGAATATACTTTGTAAAAAATGATTTTTTGAAGAATGTATGGTTAAAATTTAGAAAAAAAAATTTTTATTTAATTGTAACATTAGTATAATGGAAGAACACGTGGTTGAAAATCAGCTTTGGAAAAAAATGAATTTTAAAGTATAAAGTTAGAGATGACAATTTTCCCCTCCCC